GGGGGGGGGGGGTGGTTTCGTAGGGCAAACGCAAACACAGCCGAGAAAGGGCCACTTGAGTAGAAAGTGGGAAGTTGGAAGACTGCCGTCTTTATTGGACAAAAGGTCAACATTCACGAGGGAGGGGAAAGAAGTGGTGTTTGGGGGTGGGGAAGGGATGGAAGAAGAAATTCTTTAGCTGCAAATCAGGCTCAGGAATGTGGCTCAGGGAACAGAGGGAGTGAAGGAGGAGCTGTTTCTGACACTTTCAGGCAGGGGTGGGAAAGAAGCTGAGGAGAGCACGTGAAGTGAGGGTTCGGAGGGCAACACTGGCAGCTCCACAGGGCTGAGGGCGGAGCAAGACCCTGCAATTCCCAGCAAGCTCATGCCAGTGCTCTGATTGGACTTTCGCACACAGCCATGTTGAGCCACCCCAGTTTGGTGCTGAAGGCCTGTGGTGATGGCACCTTTCTTTCGAAACGAGTCTGGCTTGAGGGGCGGCACTCTGGATTCTACAGCTGATGCATGCTGAGTAGATGCACCCCCCTCTAGGGCAAGGAGGACTCTCTCTGGTGACTTCCCAGCTCATACAGCAATTAGTAATAGCAAACTGTGCTGGTTATTCTCTCTCGACCTCCCTGCCCATTCTGATTCATCTCCTTCCTTTTGTGCTTAGCTGTGTGCCGCAGGATGCTGACCCCGCCCCGGAGGGCCTCTTCCCTTCCACTATCTGGGGCTCAGCCAATGGAAGGCATCGGGAGAGAGAGGTCGGGGTACTTCTTCCCTGTTCCCTCCCTGCTCCTTCGCCTCCTCTTCGGCAGTTACTCTGTGTCTCCACAGCCTTGGCTTGCACTGGATCCTGGCAACACCACTTCCTTCTCCCCTGCTGGCCTGGGCTGGTAACAGCTTCCTAGCATTGCCCTTCTCCGGGAGCTGCAACACCCCGGCTTTGTTCCCTTAGCCCCGCCCACATCTCGTTTCTCCACTTTGACTACCTGAATGCCGCGTCCCGAACTAACAGCACTAACCTTGTGAAGTGTTATTACGTGCCAGGCTCTAGGCTCAGTCCTCTGTGTGCACTAACCCCCTGAATCCTCACGACACTTTATTTTTTAAAATTTAAATCCAAGTTAGTTAACATATAGTGTAATAATGCCGGCACTTTACTGATGAAGATTAAGCCACTTACCCAAGGTCACAAGTAAATGGCACAGTGAAGGTCTGATCCTGTGCAGCTGCACAGGAGACACCCAACACTAACCCACCGATCCATTCAACCCCTTTCCCTCCTTAAATCACTTCCTCGGAGCACAGCTAAAAAGGAGAACACGAGACCCAAAGAGCTCCAAAACACATCACAGAAAGGTTCATGTACTAAAGCTTATTCATAGGAAAATCATTCGGATCATAATTCACTCTTATTTTCTGCCTCATTCTAATAGGGTGGACTATTCCTGTTCTGGTGGGTCCCAGCTTTGGCCACACAACAGACTCACCTGGGGGAGTTTTAACTATCCCCTGGCCCAGGCCATGCCCCAGACTAACGAAATCACAACTCTGGAGATGAGACTCAGACGTGGACGATTTTTTTAAACACCCAGGGGATTTCAGCATGCTGCAAAAACGTAGCCCTCAGCAGCAAGTGCTAGAAAGCAAGGCCTATGGGTGAGCAGGCCTGGTTATATAAATAGAGTAATCGCTGACAGCTGCCTGTAGGGAGGGCAAAGAGGAGCTATGGAGGGTTTGCACAAGAACCAAAGCAGGGCGGTGGGGTGGGGGAAGGCATGATCTGGGTTCATTTAATGCCTGGGCAAAGTGATCCAAGGTCTGAGAACATCTTATTTTCTTATTATTATATTAGAGTAATTGTCCTGAGTCACTTGAAAGGCTAGAATTATTGTCAGTATGCTTTGTTTATCGAAGCAAGGAAAATGTATACCGTTTAGAAAGCTTTCCACCCCTGAATATGCCAGCAGTAAGGTTATTCTTAAACAGGGTAACTACAGGTATCTGGAAGACTCACTTAAAATACAATATTTTCAATTGATCTGTAGATGCCAAGTGAAAGGGGAATTGAGGTGTGACAGCACACGTCCATCAAAATACATCCGCTGACCTTTAGCAGAGGCTAAGTTCACCTGCTCCTAATTCATGGTCCCGGCTGACATTTTCATGTGTTTGGGTCCTATCGTTGGTGATTACATAGAGAGGAGGGCTCCTCAGGCCGTGGTAAGAACACAGGACGGGGCCAGTGGTTAGTCCCCTTGGAAATGGTCCTGGCACGGGGAAAATGCAGGCATCGTGTGGTTCAACGTCAGACGCGGTCTCCTAATTGTTATTGTTGGTTGTTCCTTTTGGACTGGGGTTAGGATATTCCAACAATCTGTTCCTGACGGCAGACCAAACAACTTTTATTTCTTTCTTATGTTCTCGCGGTTGGCTTTCTTGTTTATAGGCTTGCCTGCGAAGAGCGGGTGTTGGGGTGTGATACAGCTCGCATGCAGCCCCACAGCTGGTGGGGGTCCTGTGTGGCCCG